TTCCAACTTGCCTTTGACCAAAACAAAACCACCTTGACAGACAAAAAGAAATGAATATGCATGAATTTTATAGCCGGAAAAGATGTGTACGAACGTGCAATGTCCGGCCAAGAAGTGCATGTGGGTTGTGGAGGTCAGCTGAGTCATGAGCCGGTGCACAGCACGTGGTTAGTGAACCTAATTTCAACAAGAAGTGCTGCTGCATGACACAATCCTCGCAACATTGATCATTAGATATTCCCTACCTTCCTTTTCCTTAATTAAGTTATGTCACTCTCCATTTTTAGAGCCTTTGAGCTGTCGCACACATACATATCATGATTAGGTGAACGTCCAAATGAATAATATCAACCTTCTAATAAAATAAAGAAAATAATTTTGCACGTCATTTTTTTTTACATATGTTTATTTTTCGTTATTGATTTTTTTTTCCTTATACGTTGAATCTAAAAATTAAAAATAAATAGATTAAATTGAGATTTTATCTAATCAAATCCCGACTGGATGCAACTAAACCAACCGATTATATGTGCAATAAAATAAAATTTGATTGAATTGAGGTAGTAGTGATGAGTCATCAGTCGTGCATGAAAATTTGGTTGCAAGTTTCCATAATGTGTGTGCCTCAACCACTTGGCAGATGGACCAAATTTTCTTTTAGTTTATTAAGTGTTGTATGTATCATGATGTTGTTTGGTTGCTTGGGCTTCCCTTCCTTCCTGGTCGAGGGTTTAATTATGTCACAGAGATGTGGGGTTTGACGAAAGGGGTTTTAACAAAAAAACCCACGCTATTGTTTGCTTTAACAAAAAATCATATTTTTACATTAAAAAGTCAATTATGATACTATTCACTTTACCCTTTATTTTGTCCTTATCATTAAAACTCAAAGTTTTCAAGTTTTTTTCATTAGTTTTTCTTTTGATGAATTCCTCAGTTTTGGTGCGCACACACGGTACTATACTATTTGTGTCAATAATGCAACTGATGTCCCCAAATTTTTATGGCTAACTTAAAAATTAAAAGATAATAATTGCGTTCTTTTATGGGAATGCACAGATCTCACTTCTTTTAAATACATAAATTTCATAATCGGAACTGTTCAGCTTCTTAATCTTCATTTGAAGATTATCTAGACAAAAAATCATTTGAATTGGAACTTCTAGTCATTTGAATGTACATAACAAATCGACAGTGTAAGTATCAAGTAATATATCCATGATGAACCGTCTATTGATTCGATATATTTAAACGACTAAACGATCTCCGATTTGAATATTTTTTTTGAAGGGATGATCTTTCAATGAAAATTAAAAAGATGAACGGTTCTAATTTTGAAATCTATACAAGGAAAATACGTTATTTGCAAAAATGTGATATATGCGCAATCTCCCGTAGAGAAACACAATTATTATTCAAAATTATTGAGTTCCCTTTCTTTTTTCTTTTTAACTTGGAAATTAACAAACAAAAAAAACTAAATTATTGAGTTTGTTGCATGCCGAAAGAAGTAGGAAGGGAAGAAAAATTGTTATTTGGAAATGGCAAGAAAATAAATATTTTAGTTGAACAGGAAAAATGGAGAGAACCCCTAAGTTTTGAAATGTCAAATATGTTACGATCCTACTAGAAATTTTTTTTTTTGGGAAATGTCGTAATTCTTGAATTTTCTTAGCAAACACAGTTTCATTGAATATTCAACGATTTAAAAAACAATCTAGTCAGAGAGTTTCTGGTACAAGTTTGTCAGCCACACAAATGGAGGTATTCAATTTCTCACCTAAATATACAGACAAAATAATGGCTCCAAAAAGCAAAATATTGAGTTTACCATCAACTGATGGGGAAATCCTTGGTAGACTCAGATAGATCGTTAGGTTATTTCCGGCCAAGGGTTATAAGTCGCTTTTAACTTGAACTTATGCAAAATTCATCACCAGCTAATAGCCGAAATGAATATGCTAAAAAAAATTCAAGTTTGTTTTGCGCTTCGGTCAATAAGTCATTGTTGATTTTGGTCATGTTTATCTTAATCCTTTATAATTAGGTCTTCATACATTAAATATCATCATCATTGAAATAAACGTCGGAACACGATAAATTTTTCAATGTGCCAAAAAACATGACTCGATACATCAAGTAATACAAAATTATAATTTTTTTGGCTTGTTTGAAGGTTCTCCACCGTTGATGTCAATTTCATTAATTCTTCAATCACTTGAAGGAATCTTGTATGTTGAGCACATATAGCTAGTAGCTAGTTGTGTTGTGTTGATATTCCATCGTTATTCCATAGGGGGATCATAGCATTGGGAGATGATTACGCACTAACTAATCATATCTTTGAAGATCTTTAAAGTTGAAAACCAACTCAACAAAAAGAAAAAGCATCAAGTGCGTCAATTTTATTTGGCCCGACATAGAGTTGAGTTGTCACTTAAGCATCGGTGCTATATATGCTCTTCCATGACAAGCACTTGTCTTATAGACAAACTTTTTCCGTTTGAAAGCCACATCATCACATGATGTTAATAATTTACGTTTTATAATATGAAAACATAATTAGATGTATTCGTTGGCACCCGAGATGCTAAGAGTAATGTAAAGCTATGGTGGCGGACAAGATATAAGGACATGCGGGAGTGGAGGGATATTGCGAGAATAACGCATGAAAGTTTAGAATTTATGATTTAGCACGATATTGTTATTATGTCATGAATCTATAGTATAATATTAATACGTAAGTACATATGTTATAGCACTAGCAAATTGATCAGAACTTTGTTACGATGTAACAATTACACTGACGAAATTCTTGCTTTTAGGATACTAAAATTGGAGACCCAATCTAGGATGGATGCCTCACCTAGTTCTAGTATTATATACATTATGTGGGTTCAAAAGTAAACCTATCTCCTATTTTTTATCCCGTCCCACCCCATGTTATCAAATTAGTGGGAGAGAAGAACATGAGGAAAAGCCATTATTTGGGCCATCAAAATCCAATGCATGATGGGATTATGTTATCCACCACTAACGAATTCTTAGCTGGCTTTTGCAACTTTATGTTGATGATTTATTTTATGGGGTACCTAGTCCTGTGCATTATTGCGCACTAATTGAACAGTTACAACTGCTCCTGAAAAAATAAACATGGGTTTTATTTGCGTTTTGAGTAGGTATGACAATTTTTTGTAAGATTTGTTAATCTGACAAGAAACAATATGAAAATAACGTGTTTTGGGTCAATCTGATAACGAGTTGAGTTATTTTTGGGTTACATGTTAAGAACTCGTTAACAAATTGAGTTGTTATCCAGTCACCTGTTAAGAACTTGATGAGATTTGTTTGCCACATCTAGACATTAGCCACGATAACTTCTTACATGACCCGTTAACCAGACATGAAACAACTTAACCCGTTAACGAATCAGATCTTTATTCGTTCATCTGTTAAGAACCCATTAAGATAACATGTTTGATATGACACGACCTGTTAAGATAAATCGTATGATACAAAATCGACATGAACATGAATAATTTAGATCAATTCGGACATAAGTTTTGTGTTGATTTATTTATACAAAAGTTAAAAACATCAAACAAAAAAGGACCAATCAGCTTGGGGAGCTGGAGATGCTTGATAGATATGCGTTTTTTTTGTCTTGTTCACCAATTTGCATTTGACACCTGGGCACCTGGTTTTGATTTTAGACCAAAACCAATGGGGAAGACAAAGACTGCTCTTGGTTTCTTTCATGTGTCTGTCTGTTTGATTTGGCAACAGTGCATACCATGTTCTCCAGGTTTGTTTTGGTTCCTAGTTCTTGCACTAGGTGCTGCTTTAATCAATCACCTACCAAAAGGGAAGATGAAAATCAAACTCAAGTTTGAGTTTTAGGTCGTGTTTATTTATTTGGAATGAGTAAAGTTATGAATCGGGAAAAATAAGAATACGAGAGGAAATTCAAATGTGACCGACTACTCCCACTTAATTAATTTAGAGCGCGTTTACTAACTTAGAAATTGGGATTTTGCTTGCTTGACCAGTAAAACAAGCGAGTACGAAGGATGGGGCCAGCAAATATTAAAATGTCTTCAGAAGGGCCTGCATGGGCTACAAAAGTAGAGGCCCACTATCTGGTTAGTTGATAGTTTGTTGGTGAGAGAGGGAGGAGCCCATTTGGGGAGCTATCAATAAAAGCACCCTTTACAAAAGCCCATTAAGGCCCAATATCGGAATTATTTAGTGCAACGGACGTAATGTTACCAACCCACCCGTTAAAGTAAAAAATGGACAACATAGTTAACACGAGCTGTAGATCTATGATACGAACAACAAAATCCACATGTTATACGTGAGTAAATTGATAATATTACGTAACCGTAGAATAACGTTTCGCCGAACAACTACTCAGAACTTAGCAATCACAAAACGCTAAGTTGTGCCGAACCTTTGGTGTTCAAACAAACCAAAAGTAGACACATAAAAGCATTAATCGCCACCCTAATTTTGACCCAGAAAGAAAACCATTGGCGGGAATCGATTATTCAACTCGAAATAGTCATCTTTCACTCCACTCGTTCTTTTTTATTGGAGAAAAGTTGAAAGAAGAGTGCCAATAACAAATCCCGTAACCTACAAGCAATGGTAACAAGAGGAAAATACCAAGCCATACGTACTGGCACAAACGAACCATCATTGCTTCCTACATGTAGGAACTTTCGTTTTGCTAACAACGGGAAAATGCTGCATGCATCGATCAGAAGCTATCAAATCGGAAGTTTTTTACATCGATTGTAACCGGAACTGCATACATCACTGAGTCTTTCGACATCAGATTATTCTGTCTGCCTCAGCCTTCATTGTTCTTTATATGTAATCAAAGCACACACATTGCACCCTTAGTACCGTAAACATTGACGAAGAATAAATATTACTTCACACAATAATTCACAAGAACTCGAAGATTAAACGTAATCAGTACATAAGCCAGCATGAAAGATAAGGACCTGTCATAATTTTTATTTCCGCTTTCGAAGACAACACAAGTACAAGTAAGAAGGCAAAACCCGTAAGACTAGTTGTGTGTATTTTAGAAAGCTTGAGCAAGCACTGGAGACAACCCTACCAATGTGTTGGTACTTGAAATTATTGAACCTGTTCCTATCCTACATGATACCAACCCTTAAAATTTCTCATGTCACTAAAAATGGGGGAAGACAAATTCCATGAGAGGAAAATCAATAAAAGTTTGAAAAAGAAAAAGTTTACTCAAGATGTCATACCTAGGAAGGAAACATTCAATTGAATCTTGAGTAAAATTTGAAATTCTTCCCCATTCTCACCCCGCCCGAAAGGGATTCAACAATCAAAAAGCATCCGTATCTTCAGCACCCCATCACCGCGCAATTATAGACAAAGTTACGCGATTGCTTCCTGGCAAGTAAGTTCCACTGTGGAGGACCTTCACCTGGAGCCCATGCATTGATCTCTATGAAACCTTCGCCTAGAGCCCTTGGCCCGCCAATAACAATAAGCCGGTCTCCACAAGCCCTGAATGCAAGACCCCAACCATTCATTGAGGCAGCCCGCTCAGGCAATCTCCCCACCGTCAACCACACTCTTCTCTCCTTGTCATATTTCCTCACCTCCATGTCAGCATAGTCAGCAGCATACAATTCATTATTTACCACTGCAACCAGAGGCGGTGCCTCCCCTGCAGGCACATCATTCTCTCTGGCTGCACCACTCCGTCCAGGAGACATGTTAGGTATTTCTGTCCATGTTCTTGCCTTTAAATCGTATTCTTCACCGCATGTAAGAACCCTTGGATCACTTCCCCCAATCCCACCAATAACATAAAACTTTTCATCCATAAAAACCCCAGAACACATCTTCCGGGGCTTATTCATGCTCGGGAGCATCTCCCAAGTCTGAGTCTCAGAATTATATAGCTCTGCGGAGCTGAGTATATTTCCCTGCGAGTCACAACCACCTGCCAAAATTGCAATCTCCTTAAGGCTGGCAGATCCAAACAAGCATCTTGGGGCATTCATCCTCATTCCAGAAGACCACGAGTTCGTCAAAATACTATACCTAAAGATTACATGGGAAGTCACCTCCTTACCAAATACAAGAAGCTCAGTTCCCACAGCGCAAGATTCCTTATCGGAACACATGAAACATTCATTGGAAGCCATCCTCGGCAAGTGCATCCACCTGCCGCAATTGGGATCAAAGGCCTCCCATTCAAGTAGGTCGCAAGAGAAATAAATCCAGTGCTCAGTGACATCATTCTGCCTCCTCAGTTTATAGAGCTCCCCACTCCTAACTAACGAGCGGAAGCTCTGGTTCAAAGAGGCAATGAGACCATAATCAGACCTAGAACAGCGAATTAGGCAGCTGATCGAGTTATCCCTACCAATCCTATGTATAAGGTTATCCGAATCTGAAGGAACGCCAGAATGCTGCTGATCGTCCGATTGCTCACACGAAGACTGATTCATCTCAGTCTCCACCATGTCACAACAATCCAACAGCTTACACAACTTCCTCTCCCGATGCTCTTCGTCATCCTCGCTGCCGTCGAACCCCAATGGACGCTTTCCGTTGGCAATATCTTCGAGACGGCGGTAAGTCATATAAGGCCACTCGCTTTCAGGCTGGCAAAAGCTCGGAAACACCCTCGAAAGCAAGCAGGACCGACCCTCCAACATTTCTCTGTGAAACAATCAATGGAAGGCCACCAAATTCAGACCCAAATCCTATCCAAAAGCCTCTTATCTCTGGGTAAAAAGAAATTGAAAAATTCCAAAGATAAATTTTCGAACAAATCCAATCCCCAAGTCCCTCAGAAAATTCAGTCAAAATACAACCTATCAGATTCCATTCAAAAGTAAAAAGAAGTTCAATTTTATTTGTCAGAAATAGTATAAAAACCCAATCTTTATCACTGATTGCATGAACCGGATGAAGAAAGTCTTACTTTTTCAGAACTATCTGTCGAACTTTCAGCCTTCCAAATCCAATCGACCAACGATCCAGATGGGTTTTCTTCAAAAACCAATCTCTCAGTTATCTTTTTCTTTTCTTCTTTCAAAAGTCAAATCAAAACCATAGTTTCACAGATAATTTATACCCAAAATAAAAAAAAGGAAAATTCATGTATTTCAGAAATGAACATCGGGTCGATGTTGAACCTTTAAAATCTGTAAACCCAGCGAATCTAATGAGCAAAAAAAGCAATGGAAATCAGAGTTTAAGTTATAATTAACCCAGAAAAAATAACACAAAGCTAAAAAGGAGAGAATAAAGAAATGCGAGGGACTTACGGATTGGATAAGAAGAAAAAGGACCTGCTTGGAATTTTCAAAATCTCTCTCCCTCTCTCTCTCTCTCTATCTATCTCTTTCTCTCTTAACTGTAACTCCAAACTCTCTGTTTCTGTTCTTCGCAGTTTTCTCTCTCTCTCTCTGTCTCTCTCTCCCCAATTGTCTGTCCTTTGGATACTCTCTGCAAATCAGAGAAAGCTCTGAGCTTTGGCCAATATCTTTAGCGAGGCCCCCTTTCTCTCTTAAACCATTCATTTTGCATTTATAAATTATATTTTATTTTTTGGTTTTGTTGGCTTAATATTTCTAGGTTACTTTTTAAGATCCTAAAATAGTATTATATAATGCGTTGAATAATAGAAGGAAGAGAAGATGCGATGGATTGCTGGGTTGAAATTGGTTTTAAAATGACTAAAAACATTTTGATGAAAGTTTTAAGAGTATCTGAAGTGCATTTTAGAAGAAGTATCAATTACGTAACTTGCGCTTTTTGTAATGGTTTCAAAGAAACTTTTGTCGCATCTTTAACCGTTCTAAAAACATTTTCAAACACATCAGAAGATAAAAAAAAGACTTTTAAGTTCACCTATCGTTATATGGCATTATTAATGTACAAGTTAAATTAACAAATTGATAATAAATTACATCGTTGATATGCTATGAATTTATATTATAACATTAGTAAAAAAATTATGCGTGTGTAGTGATATTACTCTTTACTTATAAGTAAGAAGTTTTCGGTCCAGTAGTATTCCTCTTCACTTATAAGTAAGAGGTTTTGGTTCGATTCTCGTCAAATGCGAATTTGAATCACATTATTGCTAGCCCATTGTGAGGCTAAGCCCACCCCCCACCCCCTTAGACTATCTCCAACCTTTGGGTTAAAACGTAAATTTTTAAACCCAAAAACATTTTTCTCCTCCAGCCCTTCTAGGTTAAACTTTTAGCTCGAGATTATTAAATAATGAATTTATGATAATTTTTTTCTTAAAGTAACTTTTTTTTAAATAAAATAAAATTATGCAGACTATCCTAATTTAATTTTATGAACATTTTAACCTAAAAATATTTAGATTCCGATAAATATTGAAAAATCACTAAATTGACGCCATAAAACTTGTGGAACACTATGAAATAATATGAAACACATAAAAGAATTTTTTTTCTAATTACTTTAGCCGTTGGATTTAAATTTGGACAGCTAGGACCTTTTTTTTTACCGTTGGATTTGATCATATTAAATCTTAGTTATTGGATTCAATTTATAAATATAAAACTAAACAAATATACATATATGATGGAACAGCCCCACTAACCCAGGGGGAATCTTAACCCAAAATTTGCCCCATAAATGAGTTTTGGGTTAAAACTCATATTTGCTCCAAGGGTTGGAGCAAGCTGGGGTAAGTTTAGAATCTCAAATTTGAGTTTACTCAAAGGGTTAGTGTACATCCCACATCGCCCAGGGGACTGATCCTTAAATGTATATTCACATCTCTACCTAGCACGAGGCCTTTTGGGAGCTCACTGGCTTCGGGTTCCGTAGGAACTCCGAAGTTAAGCGAGAAGGGGGCTAAAGCAATCCCATGATGGGTGACCCACTGGGAAGTTGCTCGTGAGTTCCCAAAAACAAAACCGTGAGGGAATGGTAAGCCCAAAGCAGGACAATATCGTGCTACGGTGGTGGAGCGGGCCCGGGAAGTGATCCGCTCCTGGCCGGGATGTGACAGTTTGGTATCAGAGCCTAACCCTGGCCGCGTGTGTGCCGACGAGACGTCGGGCCCCTAAGGGGGGTGGATTGTAACATCCCACATCGCCCAGGGGACTGATCCTTAAATGTATATTCACATCTCTACCTAGCACGAGGCCTTTTGGGAGCTCACTGGCTTCGAGTTCCGTAGGAACTCCGAAGTTAAGCGAGAAGGGGGCTAGAGCAATCCCATGATGGGTGACCCACTGGGAAGTTGCTCGTGAGTTCCCAAAAACAAAACCGTGAGGGAATGGTAAGCCCAAAGCGGACAATATCGTGCTACGGTGGTGGAGCGGGCCCGGGAAGTGATCCGCTCCGAGCCGGGATGTGACAGTTAGAGTAGGTCATAGTGTAGATAATATTGAATTTTAAATTTGGCACTCCAAAAATTTTATTCTACACTTCTTACAAATGTATTTTTCTTTCTAATCGTAGAAAATTTGGAATACAAAATGAGAATTTTGGAATGTGAATAACAAAACTCTTAAATTATTATAATTGATCTTTTTTGTGTGGATTATTTAAAATTTGAGAAATGTTAAGGAGACCTTCTCAAAATTAGAGCTCTCCATAAGCTTTTTGCCACCTCTTGTTTTTTTGCAAAATGTTTTGTAATATTAGCACGAAAATTGAGATTAAATTATGAGGTGAAAGAGTGTTCATGAAGAGTCTCAAGTGACAGATAGTCTATGAAGAGTCACACGTTAAGAGAGTCTTCTTAACTTTTCTCTTAAAAAAATTACCATAAAAATTAATTACGCATTACAAGGGTGAATTATAACATTTGTCCAAATAGGATGAACGTGTAAACATTAATGTATAATAAAATACGATGTAAGTGATTTACAAGGATGAAATGTTATATTTAGTCAAAATGAGGTAGATCCATCAAACACATGTATACCCTATAAATAGGGGTGTAATTTTGGTTGGGCCAACCCGAACCTAGCCCGACTTTAAACCCGAATAAGTGAATTTTGTTTTTAGTTATAACTCATCCAAACCCAATCCGATTTCAACCCGTTCATTGATGTGGCACATAGAGCTGTTAGGATCACCCATAACTCTTACTACTTCCAAGTTGATATGGAATTATATGGACTAGAAGGATGTACCAAAGATTTGAATTGTTCCCGAAATCTGCCAACAATCTGACTTTGCATTCATAAATGTTTAGTGGCACAATCATCCATTTGATCCAAATTTGACCCTGGTTCATTCCAGTGGGATTATTATTTTACCTACCTGACTATTGTACGTCTGATTCAGGGGGATGAATGTGGTAGTTTGGTGGACTTCGGTGCTCCAACTGTTGACGTGCAATACACTTTTAGTAATTTTTCATTCAAGGCAAGGCATTTGAAACCTAAGCTGTTATTTTTCTTCCGATGCTGGATGAAAATGAGTGATGGTGGTTTTTTCTACACAACTCTTTTGGCACTGGGGTCTCATGCTTTACAAAGACTTGATTCTAGCTTTGGACAATGAAGTGTTCATCTCTTTCTTTCTTTTTTTCTTTTCTTTTGGTACTAGGTTTGGTATTTCTTGTATTTTAATTCAAACTTTGCATGGTTGAACATTCATATTTAGTTTAACTTTATAACGGATACAATTTGCGAGATTGAATTTTAATTTTGAAAAAGTTGAGCAACCCAAACCCGATTAAAACTCAACCCGAATCCGAGCCCGAATTGTAAAAGTTGGGTTGACCTTCCAACCCGTCCGAGTTACACATCTACCTATAAGTAAAGATATCTTTTAAATAAAGATAATAAATAGTTTAGAGCTCTAAAGCGTATAAAATATTTTCTTAAGCGAAACGGCTTATTTAATTATACAAAATTAAGACCAACTTAGCAAATTCATATGCCACAACGTTAGTTGCTCGTCTAGTGTGAAAGGTGCGAGCCAAGTTGAAAATTCCTTAAAGATTCAATCTTTTTGGGCTTCATTCTTGACACTTGCCAAACAAGTTGGTAAACTTCATCATGTTTTTTGTTCAACCAAATTGTTAGCATGAAAAAAGGCCGTCAAAACTCCAAAATGTTTCAATCAATTATTATTCTTTTTTACTTTGAAGTATCACTTTGGACAGTAGCATGTTAAAATTACGTGTGGACATGTTCGAGCTAGAAAAGTCTAATTCATGCGGGAGAGAGAGAGACGTGTCAAATTAATTACCTTCATCAACTTTTACCATGCCAACATTCTCAATGATCATTTCCAAATATTTTTATTAAACTTTTTACTATTTACATATAATTATATAAGTTAGGTTAGGATCACATCGACGCATTCCCACCTATGACCATGAAGTTAATGATCATATTCATATGTTACCTGGAACCCTCCTTTTTTTTAATTCTATTTTTCACTTTTAACTACCCCAAAATTTTCTAAAAATAGAAGGAAAAAAAAAAAAAAGGAAACTAATTTGCCTTTCGGTGGAGAATTCCAAGTAGGCAAAAGCTCGAGTCAAATCAAATAAAATTTAAACCTCCAAAAAGGAAGGCCCTGGTCCCTTTGGATAAGATAAGGTAGATAAATGCAAGGGACTCTCTTAAAATATAATATTTCACAAATCATCCAGCATTTTATAATTTAACAACAATTTTTATAATAATATTATAAAATATGTGACAAAAACATCAACTAATAAAAAGTTCATAGAGCTCATACTTCAGAAAGACTCCCTTACCATTTGTTAAATTACAAAATGAGGTTTCAAAAAAAAAAAAAAAAAAAAATTACAAAATGAAATAAAAGATAATATATTGTTGTAAAATCGACGATGTGTGTACAGTGGAATAAATAAAATAAGACACAAAATTTACGAGGTTCCTCTACAGTCAGTGTGACTGGAGTACGTCCTCGGGCAGCAGTGATGTTTTCATTATAATTTGGAATAATAGGAGTACAAAGATAACTCTATGTATTCTCTTCTCTCATCTTCCTCTCTTTCTTTTTTTTTTCTGCTCTTTGTTCGAAGCATACGGAGTGCTCTATTTATAGAGCAACTCCAATCACACATCTTTGACAAAATGATCTCCACATATCAGTATTCTGCCAAGGTTTTCAACCCTTTGGCAATGTTTTCAATGTTGTGGCAGGTATTCAATACTGTGGGCATTCATTACCCACTAGTATTTTCAACACTCCCCCTTGGATGCCCACATATCAACATTAGTTGCCTCGTTAAAATCTTGATCTATTTTTGGATGCTCCCCCTTGATGAGTATCTCCCCCTGATTTCAAATTCTTTAGGCTGATCATTGATCCTGCTGCTTTAGTCTTTTAGCGGTGATAGTTGCCGAATGAGGTGTTTCACTTGTTGTTAACTTTCCACAGACTTGTTCTTGAACTGGGTTGGAGGGTCTTCTGCTAGACTTCCTCCAAAGGTCTGAATTTACCTATTTTATCTGGAGCTGAATTTGATTCAAGGATGGTGGACACTTGATCTTGAATCGGACTTGTGATTTCTTCAAAGGCCGTCTACACTTGATCTTGAATGAAATTGGATCATGAGGAGCTTCATGTGACAAATGATCTTAGACTTTGTCGGGGATGAACTGAAATGTGTTTGTTGTGCTTGTCTCCACATGCTTCAATGTATCATTTTCACTTGCCTTACT